CATTTTTGGTCAAAAAACCAACAGAAACTGACCATTCGAAAGAAGTTACTAATACAGAAGTGCCAGAATGCAGCATGGAGGACGCTTCTGAAGTAATTAAACAAGTTGACCAAAAAGGAAAGCAGACACAGCCAGTCGTCCAATTTGGCTCGTTTCCTCCGGTGTTAGTGAATATGGTGCTCATATTACCACAGGAATTTCAAACTGAAGATGACAACCAAGGTCAGGAGATTGACCCAATCCCAGTTTCCAGTGAAGACTCACAAGTGAGTATGGTGCAAGACGAATCCAAAGTAGTCACACCAATGAAAACTGAAGGCGAGAGTGAGGAAGAGGTCAGTATTAACCTCTCATACCCTTTTGAATATTCTACGACGTCCATGACACAACATGTCAAACCCTTGTATATGAAGGCCTTCTTTGATGGAATACAGATGAATCGGGTGCTGGTAGATAACGGGGCAGCAGTAAGGCTTGGTTTGACATCTACTATATAATCCATCTTTTTATCTTTTTATCTTTTTTCCATCACATCACCTCTCTACTTTTCTGCACATCTTTTCGTAAAAAAATAAAAAGTGCACTTTTTTAGGACACCCCAAACCAACCTTTAAGAAGAACCCCAGACTAATCCCAACCAGTACAGCCATTGCTGGTTTCACTGGAGACAAACAGATGGCCCAAGGTATTTTGCCCATCAACCTGAGTGTGGGAACCAAGGACTGCATGACAGCATTCTTCGTTATCGATAGCAATGCTAAGTATAATGCTTTCCTTGGAAGAGATTGGATTTTCACCCACAAATGTGTGCCTTCCTCTTTACATCAGAAAATCATGATGGCCTTGTGCAATGGAGAGACAGAGGAGATCAATGTAGATCCTCAGCCCTTCATAGCCTGTGCAGATTTTGCAGAGGCCAAATTGTATACTGAAGGAGAAGCACCACTCAGTATACTGAGAAAACCTGATGGATCAGCCGAAGTGACGGCTGATGAGGAATTAGCACACCTGAAGCACTTGGTCCAGGAAAGTGCTGATGAAGAGTTTGTCATTAAAGATGACAACGATAACTGGTTGTAGGCAAAGAGATGGACCCCAGGAGGCCAAATCTCTGGTTTTAATTAAGTTTTCAGCATTGGACATACAGTCAATAGTCCAGAAAGTGCAAGAACAAGAGAAAGAAGCCATAATAATTGGTTGGAAGCAGGAACAACAACAGGTCAAATGTTTGGCCTTGGATAAATACTGTGCTTTGGATATTGAAATAAAAGTCCAAGAGATATAGGAGGAGGATGCCTTATGGACAGACTTTGTCTATGAGGAGGAGGGTAAGGATGTCGAACCGAAAAAGCTAGGAGCAGAACAAAGTAAGGAGATTGCTTCGAAGTCAGAAGGAATCAAAGAAAAAGTATCAGTGAGTTCTCAGGTACAAGACCCCTTGGAAGAAGTGGACTTAGGGGAAGATTCCATACAGCAGCCCACCTATATAAGTGCTTGTTTGAATGCTCTTGACAGGGACCAGTTGTTGGTGGTTTTAAAGAGATACAAAGATTGTTTTGTATGGTCTTATAATGAACTACCAAGATTGGATAGATCATTAGTGGAACATAAGCTCCCTATGAGGTCTAATTTCAAGCCATACAAGCAAAAACCAAGAAGAATGAGTCCAGAAGTGATTCAGAAAGTTAAGAAGGAAATTCTTAGACTCCTCAAGGCAGACTTTATTAGGACAGCCAGGTACGTAGAATGGCTATCGAATATTGTGCCTGTAGTTAAAAAGAATGGTAAAATGAGGGTATGCATCGATTTCAGAAACTTGAATCTAGCAACTCCAAAAGATGAGTATCCTATGCCTATAGTGGATTTGTTGGTAGACAGTTTAGCAGGGCATCAAGTTTTATCAATGATGGATGGGCACTCTGGTTATAACCAAATCTGCATTGCAGAGCAGGATGTCCATAAGACAGCATTCAGATGTCCTGGGAATATTGGCACATTCGAATGGGTTAAAATGCCATTTGGCCTGAAGAATGTTGGGGCTACATATCAGAAAGCTATGAGCACTATTTTTCATGACCTCATTGGAAGGTATTTAGAGTGTTATATTGATGACATTGTAGTGAAATCCTAATCCATGGAGGAACACTTGTTTCACTTAGAAGCGGCTTTTGAAAGAATGAGAAAGTTTAAGTTAAAACTTAATCCTTTTAAGTGTGCTTTTGGCGTATCATCTGGAAACTTCTTGGGCTATGTAGTACACAAGAAAAGAATACAGGTTGACCAGAATAAAGCCACAGCCATCATTGAAGCCAGACCTCTATCAAGTAAGAAAGAACTACAAAAGTTCCTTAGACAGGTTAATTTTCTTTGAAGATTCATTTCTAATACTGCAGGGAAAACTAAAGTATTTTCTTCCTTGTTAAGGCTAAAAGATGAAGAGGAGTTTGTGTGGACAGCAGAGCATCAAACCGTTATCGAAGGAATCAAAGCCGATTTGGCCAACCCTCCAGTGTTGATGCCACCAAAGGGTGATAAGCCCTTGAAGTTGTACACAGCTGCAGCAGAGGATTCATTGGGAGCTTTCTTAGCCCAAGACAATAAAGAAGGTAAGGAGCAAGCTGTTTATTACCTTTGTAGGTTTCTAAATTCTTGTGACTGTAAATACTCAGCTGTAGAAAAGCTGTACCTTGCATTGTATTTTGCTACAATGAAATTAAGATATTATCTTTTGCCTACAACTGTCTTAGTAATTGCAACCACAGATTTGGTTAAGTATATGTTATCTAGACCCATGTTGAGGGGGAGAATTGGCAAATGGATACTAGCCTGATCAGAATTTCATTTAGAATATATTCTCCAAAAGGCAGTAAAAGGACAAGTTTTAGATAATTTTTTGGCAGACCGTCCATCTCAAACAGAAAGCCAAGAGATAATGGAACTTGGTATGGCTAGTATTGAACCATGGCAAATGTGGTTCGATTGATCAAAAGCCAATGGTTTAACTGGAATTGGTATAGTAATTAAGTCACCACAAGGGGTAGAAGCCACACATGGTTTCAATGTGGATGAAATTACTTGTTCCAGTAATCAAGCTGAATATGAAGCCTTAATAATGGGATTGAAAATACTTATTGGATTACAGGCTCATGCAGTTGATATATTTGGGGATTCTCAATTGGTAATTAACCAGGTGAAAGGGATTTTCAAATGTCAAAGTATAAGCATGTTGCCATACTATGTTGTTGCATTACATCTAGTTTCTCAATTTCAGAAAGTAAATGTAACTCATGTTCCAAGATTCTTGAATAATAAAGCTAATGATATGGCTCAGAAAGTTTCGAATTTCAAGAGAAGGGATAATACTCGAGGGAACATAAACCAAACAACATATCAGAAAGTAAAACCACCCTTGAATAAAAGGAATGTGATCTTGGAAGTCAATTGTCATGACCCAAACCTGCCCTTATGGGTTTAGCACCGTAACCGGCTAGTAATCCGAGATTACCGAAGGCCTGCTTAACAGTAATGACAGTAATACAGAGTACATGGGCTGGCGGAAGCCAAAACAGTAATTAAAAGATGTCCAATGAGTTGTGACAGTCTGTTATGCAAAAAGACTTTTCATATATATTCACATTCAGAAACAAAACAGTGTATACATACATATATACATCATTTACAGGCGTTCAAGTTAGGGACCAAATCCCTACCATAACAGTACAGTACGGGTACACATGTCAGTCTATACAATGTTACAAAACCAGATACAAAAAGGGAAAAAACTAAAACACCCCAAAAAACCCTAGCTTGAAGGACTTGGAACCTCGCAGTGAGGCACGGTGGTTGGCTTTGACAAAACGGGAGCTTAGCCTGACGCTCCTAGCAACGGTCTGGTGCCTATACACCTACATATATATATATAAGCAGTGAGATAAAATCCAGTGAATAACATATGCGTAAAGAGGCTAAAAATGAATGTCCCTTCAGTATTGAAAATAGTCATTTATCAGTATATCAGTCGTTCAGTTTGTGACTCATAATTCATGCCATAACAGTCATTCAGAAAATATAATAGCCATATGTGGTACATCCGATAGCAAAACAGTACAGTAGGTCTTAACAGACTGAGCAGTCAATGATGGCCATCAGTAATGGTTCCAAACATAGGAACCGATAGAGATCTCTATAACAATAGCAGTAACAGTTCAGTAGCAGTAAATTGCTATGGATGCCACGAATACAGTTCACAAATAGGACAAACATTTATTCAGTAAACAGTGCCATTTCATAAAGCAGTACAGTCATTGTTCAGGAAATAATTTCAATTGAACATATCTTTACAACATTGTTACTCACAGAGTTCTAGGCTACAAATAAGCTAGTACGCATCCTCGGATGCCAACCCTACACAATTACAGAGTGAACACACACTAAGCTACACAGTTAGGAAATAATAACTTAATCCCTATCTTGACTCGGTGTGGTTCTACATCAATATCCTCATTAAGATGCCTTAAACTAAGCCTAGGAATGCCTAGGATGGAATGAGGATGCAAAGATGTACTTTAAAACACTTTTCAGAATTTTCAGAAAACAGTGTTCTCGCTCAAGCGGATATGCAGACAAATGAGCTTTGCTCGAGCATAACTTTCGTTGCTCGGGCGGACTGCAAGCTACAGTAAAAGAACTGGATGCACAAAAATCACGCTCGACGGGCGCTCGATACATGCTCGAGCGTGAGACACATGTCCTCACTCAAGCGTGAACTCTCTTGCTTGAGCGGACTGTAAATACATGCAAAGTACTGGATACACGCATTTCACGCTCGAGCGCCACTTTCCTCTCTCGAGCAGACTGCATGAACACAAGGCTTACGCTCGAGCATAGAACTCCTCGCTCGAGCGTGAGTCCAAAATCTGAAATTTCCAGATTTGAACCTCAAGCTCAAAACTCAATTCTAATGCATCAAATTCGATCCTTTTGGGCTAATTTTCTGGAAAACACTTATAAAATCATAGTATAACATGTTTTGAAGATCAATTTGAGGAATCAAAGCCCAAAGGTAGTTCAATTAAAATACAATTCCAACCCAAAATCCAATAACATGAAGATTGATGCAAAACTCACACATGCATGAGTTCTGATGAATTCAAAGCTTCTAAAACATGCTCCAAAGAGCCAATTCTTGCAAAAACATGGTGAATCCATAGATCAAGACCAAAAATATGAACATGTATGTAGCAATTTCCATGAAAACAACTCAAAACTCAACAATAGGACCATGCATGCATGAAATCTTACTCAATTCAACAATTTAAGCCATATTTTGGCTCTAGACTTCAAAATTAACATGGACCATGCAAGAAGTATTTCAAACTATGAACAATAAGGTAAATTCTCTACCTTAGGTCTTGGATCACAAGTGTAGAGGCTCAATTATGCAAATAAACCTTCAATTTCTTCTAATTTCAAGCAAGAATTTTATATGAACTCAATTTCTCCAACACTCTAGCTCTCTCACGTTTTGGTCTTAGAAGAAATGAGGGATGATGCAAGAATAAGCTTCAAATGGCCCACTAGATGGCAAAAGGGTGAATAAAGCCAACTTATGTAGTTTAACATTATTAAATCTAGTTTAATCATACCAAATCACATTTCAATTAAATATACTATAAAATTACATAAATTCTAATGAGCGTAAAACATTAAGCAATTTCGGATTCAGCCGACGATAAGGCCTTCAATTAGCAGTTTAAATATAAAACACGAACAGATAGTTCACTGACAAACAGATAGAAATGCATTCAAACTAATACGTTCAATCAATCAGTTCAGGATTTCAGTCAATCAGTCAGTTAACATGCTTAATCATGGATTAGCACTAATCAGTGGTGAGGGTTGTCACATTAATCATAATGACTTACAAGAGCAAGATTGGAGGCATCCAATAATGCAGTATCTGGCTAGCCCATCTTCGAAAGCCAGCAGAAAAATTAAATTACAGTCTATACAATACATAATGTATGGTAATGCTCTCTACAAAAGGGGGGGAGATGGGTTATTGTTAGAATGTTTAGGCCCAAAGGAAGCATTGACAGCTATGGCTGAGGTTCATGAAGGCATCTGTGGTGCTCATCAGCCTGGTGTGAAGATGAGATGGCTGCTTCGAAGGCATTCCTACTATTGGCTAACTATCCTTAAAGACTGCATAGAATATGCAAAAGGTTGCCAAGCATGCCAAAAACATGACACAATAAGGCACGTGCCCATAACTGACCTGCATGCAGTTGTGAAGCCTTGGCCATTTAGAGGATGGGACATGGATATGATGGGAAAAATACACCCACCCTCTTCGAAGCATCATTGTTTCGTCTTAGTGGCTACTGATTACTTCACTTAGTGGGTCGAAGCTAAGCCATACAAGGCTGTAGACCAAATTGAAGTCATTGGATTCATTAAGGAATTAATCCATAGATTTGGTATCCCACAGACTATAATTGTTGATAATGGGACTGTATTTGATAGGAAAATGGTAAAGAATTTTGTGGCAGAGTTTGGAATTAGCCTTATTA